TCTTCCTAGTAATTTCCTTTACCATACTTCAGCACACTATATATATCCTACACTCCCATTTTATTCTCTTCATCACTCAAACATTTTCATCTCATAACACTTCTTTCCTCTATTATATACTCCTTTTTTTTGTAGTATTAACAATCAATCAATGGCATCCTTGCCCAAAATTCTATGCCTTGCTCTTTTCCTCACCCTCTTCGGCTTTTCCGTAGAGGCGAGGCTACTCACTGAGTCGTCTCAGCCTATGACCTTCCGATACCACAAGGGTCCCCTACTTAATGGGAAGATTACGATCAACCTTATTTGGTATGGTCACTTCAAGCCCGCCCAACGTGCCATCGTTTCTGACTTCATTACTTCCCTTTCATCCTCCCAACATGAAGCCCAACCATCTGTTTCTACGTGGTGGAATTCCATCGGAAAGTATCACCACCTTGCGAATCCCAAAGAATCCACCACCACTCTTTCCCTTTCTGTAGGCAAGCAAGTTATAGATGAGACATACCCTCTTGGTAAGTCCCTCACCAACAAGCACCTTGTAGAGCTAGCCTCTAAAGCCGGTCAACAAGTCAATGCAGTCAACGTAATATTGACCGCATCCGACGTGGCAGTAGATGGGTTCTGTAGGAGCCGATGTGGAACCCATGGATCATCCTACATTTCCAAAAGTAGGACTCAAAAGTTCACCTACATTTGGGTTGGCAATTCAGAGACCCAATGCCCAGGTCAATGTGCATGGCCCTTCCACCAGCCCATCTACGGCCCACAAAGCCCACCCTTGGTTGCACCTAACAACGATGTGGGCCTCGACGGAATGGTGATCAGCTTGGCATCCCTTTTGGCCGGAACCGTGACCAACCCCTACGGAAATGGGTACTACCAAGGCCCTAAGGAAGCCCCACTTGAGGCTGCTTCGGCTTGCCCAGGTATCTACGGAAAAGGCGCTTACCCTGGTTATGCTGGAAACCTCTTGGTTAACCCAACCAGCGGTGCTAGCTACAATGCAAATGGAATGAACAAGAGGCAGTATTTGCTCCCTGCTTTATATGATCCTACCACTTCATCTTGCTCAACTTTAATCTGAAAGATTATAAGATATAATGATATTTTTTTCCTATTGTAAAGATACTAGCAATGTTAGAGACTCCACACTTCAGTTTAAGATGTATAATTAAATTATTCATTGTATAGTTGGTTTTGCTAAGAAATTCGTGTGTTTGTGCTAGCTAAATTGCTGAGAATTGATTACTTACTTTGCTGAAGTAAAACTTTATAAAATGACAAATTTGGGTGCAAAAAAGGCCAAAAATTTAGAAAGATCAATGGGATCACAAATTTATACACTACAAAATCATCACAATAAATTGGGAGTAAATTTTAAGTTAATTAAGTTTCTGTGCAAGATATATTTTTAGAAGAATGAAAATTTTCAAGTATAAAGGAGACCCAAACAACCAAACTTGATCATCTTATATATTGAATTTATACAACTAAGGTTATATATGTTAACTTCAACTTAATATAACTCATTATTTTAGACAAATTTCCCATAATTTCAAAGTTTAGATAAGTTAAAAAGGCACTACAAGTTCAAACAGCTCAAATTCAGATGCATTGAAGATTGAACACATCCCTAAACAAAATAAAAAGCTAGCAAACTTAGCTGACCCTATTGTTAAAGACTTAAGAGCCAAAACAGCCAGCTTGACTGACCTGATAGGCTAATACCTACCGAACTCAGGTGACGTAATTTTAACTCTGACCAATGTTTCCGACTCCATAAGAAGGAGCACATTAATAAGAAGAAGCTTAAGGAAATGCGAACGTTAAAGGGGATTGTGCAGAAACATTCTAAGAGATAGAATAAAAAACGAGGTTATTTTCTAGAAGGTAGGTATGGCAGGAAGAATCGCCTGCGTTGGTTTGGGCATGTAAGACAGAGGCCTGATGGTGCACGGAAAGGTGGGACCATGGAGGGATTAAACAAGGGAGAGGGAAACCGAAAATGAATTGATTGAGAGGAGTTAAAAAGGAAGTTTTTCGATTTGCATGAGGATGAGGTATTGGATCATAAGAGATAGAGGAGGAGGAGATCTTTGTCGATGATTACACGGAATAAACAAATTTGGTTCATGTAGCCGACCCCACTAATAGGATTAAGGCTTTGATTGATTGATGTGTCCGACTTGAATTGATGGAACTCAAAATTTAATATGATTAAAGTTGATTGGTTATTTAATTAACTAAATTTACAATTGACCCAAAGCAGATCTAATATGACTAACAAGTAACAACCATATCTTAATCTAAATGACACCATGTGACACCCTACTTAAGAAGCAAACTATTCATGGAAGAGTATAAAACTATTCCCATGAGAATTGCGCAAAAGTATTAGTGTCCACTACTGCATACAAACTTACACAGTGCTTATTTAGTTCACATAGAAATTAATTCCCATGAGAATTTACATTTCATGGGATTTACTCTCCTAATAAAACTCCTAAGAAATAGCTACAACATGTTTGGATGATACCAATGTTTTGTAATCTCAAGATGAAACTATTAGGTCAGAAAGTAAAAATCATGTCGATACAAAAATCTTAAGACTAATCATTGGGAGCACATCCACTTGCCATACATGAATTATTTCTTTTAAATCATTGGCAAAATAGTCATGTTTATTCATTAAGAGGGACAAACTAGCTACTTCATTAATGACAAGCAAAGAAACTTTGACATTGATTCATCAAGAAAGCAGCCAAAGGAGATAAAGTTCATAAATCACAATACTATTATAAGTCATTTTCCTGTCTTTAGGGATATGTATTAGGTCAGTTAGACCATGCAATTAGGTACAAATTTGATGATTATACAATGTTTAAGGGTAGGTCTATACTATCATTGGCAAGTTCGGGGGGTCTATATGAATGTTGAAGAGCCCACCAGTGGATGAGTATGGCCGATGAGTTTGACTGCTTTTGCCCTAATTAATGCAATCAAGAAAATTTAGTTCAAGTAAATATTCAACCCCATCTGCTCTTACTTAATTTGATTTAATACAATACAAATCTCAAAGATCAGGAATCAATCAGTATCTAGCAGCAACAAGCCTTGAAGCTGCAAAGCATAAAAAGTTCCAATTCACTCATTTAAATATTACTCGTATCAATGTTATAACGTGAATTGAGATATCTATTAACAGATACAATGCGATAATCAATCAAGGTTTTCACTGCGACTAGCACAAATTCACCTATAAGCCTTTTTTCAAAATTAATTAATGTAAATAGAGGAAGCACAATCTAAGTATACAAACTAGGTTGTGTTTGATAAATAGCTTATTTGAGCAAAATTAGCTTATGGGGCCAATATTAGCTTATTGACTATTAAATAAACTAATTTAAGGTGTTTGGTGGAAACTTATTTAAAGAGCTCATTTTACTAAATAAGCTCTTTTTAGAAGTTCTTTAATTAACTTATTTATTAATTTATGGTTAAAATACCACTTATATCTCCATTTAATTTAAAATTCTACCTAAACTACTTACCCCACAATTAGCTTTATTGGTCATTTTACATACTCAAACAACTTTAAGTTATATGCTATTTACCAAAAATTGTTATACAATCAACTAATAAAATAAGTTAGTCAAATCAATTAATACAATCACTCAGTGCTAACGCAATCAACTTCATCTTTCAGCTATAAGCTATTCACCAAACATGTCCTATATGCTTATAAGTATTAGCTAATCGCTAATCAAATTAGCTTTAACCACAAAAGTCATAAAAACCATGCACACTTTAATGGGATTAATAAACTACGAGTATACAGTACAAAGAGTAACTCACCAGTGAGGTCAAGCATGAAGTTCCACATACTTAGGTCCAGCTATTATCTTGCCCACGGTCACACTTATAATATTGTATTCTTGATGTACATTGTTGACCCTGCGATGCCACAAGGCTGGCCTCCAATTTGTCCAAAGCAAGCCATCTTACCAAAATTCTTCCACAATTATTTTGGCTTAGCAACTTCCAAAGCTAACTATAGCAGCAAATTTAGTCCCTTACTGATTCAATATTCAACAGTATACTTCACCTAACTATCAGTCAATGTGCTTGGCCATTGCATCAATCCATCTACAGCCCACAAAGCCCACCATTGGTCATACCTAGTCCTAGTTATTGGGCGGGTCGGGTCAGGGTCGGTACGGGTCGGGTCAAAGAGAATCACATTTTATAGGGTCGGGTCAATGTGGGTTGCGGGTCATTAGCGGGTTGATAATGGGCGGGCCTACAAAATATCAATTAAAATAAATATTGGACAAAGCCATTATTATATACATATGAATACAAATTTATCTATATAATTATTTTTACATTATGTATTTTCTTTATCAATTAAATTGGAAAAACATGTTGGTCCTATATTGATCCTGCCCATTAAAAGCCCTGTCCATTAAAAGCCCTATAAGCTTGGCCCTGACCCTATTATCAATAACCACCTCTAGTCATACCTAACAACGATGTTGTCTTGGATGGCTTGGTCATTAACTTGGCATTTTAGCAGGGATTGTGACCAACCTCTTAGTATACCCATAACCAAGCTACAATGCTAACGAAAAAAACAAGAGGAAGTATTGCTTCCTGCATTGTATGATCCTAGTATCCCACCACCAAACTTTAGTTTGAGAAGTTCAGAAACCACCTGCAATATTATGTATAGAGATTAACTAGATAAGAGTAGGATGGCACTGGATCGGGTTAAATAGAAGACCCGCCCCATCCCCACCCCAATGGGGCGGGATGGAGGGAGGTTTGGCGGGTGATGGGGCGGGTATGGGTGTAAAAAGTGTACCCGCCACGGATGGTGGGGCGGGTATGAATTTTATAATAGACCCGCCCCGCCCCGCCCCGCCCCGCCCCGCCTCATACCCGCCCCAAGAAGAGTCTAGAATATGTGAAAGGCCCAAGCCCAACCGCCCAAATACTAAGAATCTTTAACCTAATTTTTCATTTGATTCATTTCCTCAACAGCCGTTATTTTCATTCTCTCTCCATTCTTCTATCTGAAAGTCAGTCACTCAGTCATCCATCTTCTTTCTCACTACTTCGTCTCAATCACCATTGTTCAATTCATCTTCTTCCCCAAGGTATATATAAATTAATCTCTCTTTAATTGTTTTGTTTACTTTGGTTTTGTGATTGAATGCGACAATTCTAATTTATTATGGAACAAATTCATCTTAATCTATTCTATAATCAACTGTACTCATTGTAATTTTAAGTATCGAATTTATTTCGATGTTGAGTTCTCTTAATTTAAGACGTTAAGATCTGTTGATTAATGATTAGTATGAATATATTAGACAAATTATACTACCTAATAAACCACTTTTTAGATTTTACTCCTAGAATTTACTCCGTATATATTAATAGTCAATCTATGCAAAATTTTTGTAGGTGAGTTTAAGAAATTGCAGCACCATGGTTGGAGGAATTAGCTAGAAGATGAAAGTGCAGCACTATGCGAAGTGACTGATTGATTTTTCATGCATTGAGATTTTGTAGCTTTGTATATATTATTGGATTTGGATTTGTGGAATTTTCACAGTATGAAATTGTTAATTAATTATAATTAATATTGTTGTTATTATTTTGTACTGTAATTGTCATTACTGTGAAATAACATAACATTTTGGATATATGACAATAGGTTTGGGCGGGTATGGGGCGGGTTTGGGGCGGGTATAAGGTGGGTATGGATATCCAAGTGGTTGGCGGGATGGGGATGGATTCTATACTATACCTGGCGGGGCGGGTATGGATGTTGGGTATTGTACCCGCCACGGGTGGTGGGGCGGAGATGGGTATAAAATTTTTAGGCGGGTATGGGTGTGGAGGTACCATCCTCCGCATCCGACCCGCCCCATTGCTAGATAAGAGGGAATAAAAATATATATCAGCCTATCACGGTGAAAAAGAAAATAAAAAGTACTCCATACATAGTATAAACTTTCTCATTGTTACAGTATTATTCATTGATTACACATGTTGCAATAAAAGTTATTTTGGGAGTTGGGACTGTAACACAAATTAACTATCCATTTTTTGAAAATCTAAACAGTACTCCTGGAACAACATAATTAAGTGAGCCTAAACTCTGCTATAATCATTCCTTTGCAAACTTATGTTTTGGCAAGAGATAGAATGCTTAGGCCTTAGGACCAACATACCCATATGCCGCACATAGCTTCATATGACTATGTTTACAGCGTAAATGATAGGGTACATTCTCATTTCCACCGGACAAGTGCATTTACCCCTCCTAAAATGGATGGTAAAAACTGCATACTTAGCATTTCCTTCCCCTCCCTATCACGTTAATTTTCAAAAAATATTAGAGACACTTTAAAGATAGAGGCTCTCCTACCCTTCCCGTCTACCCCTCTCACTTCTAAAAAGCCTAATTTATTAAGTTAGGCTGGATTACCTATGTGAGGTTCCAGTCCGATATGACACTTCTCCTTACAAAAAAACATAAAAAAGATAAAACAAAAAATATGCACAAGTTTTTTAAAAATGTTTGTTACAATAATGTATTCGATCAACATAACTTGGAATTATAGAATACAAAAATCAGCTTTGCAACTTTTAAGCATAAAAAAAAAAAAAAAAAAAAAGCCAAATGTGAACTTTCCACATAATCATGATCCAGCTTTTCTAGAAGTTTAATGTTGACTTGAGCTGCTGCAAGGTGGTCTTCCTTTTGTCCAAAAAACAAGAAATATCTTACTTACATTTTTCTTCAATAATTGTTTAATGTCCAGCAACTTGCAAAGCCAATGAGTAGCAATAAAATTTGTTCTCTACTTAATCAATAATCTAACATCACATACTTCACACTTTTCTCAGTCAAAGATTTAACACTTAATGCTTACTACATAACTTTCTTTTTGGCTTTTCACATGACATCCTACAACTTCCTTCTGCACCCTTCTTCCTCGGGGTATAAAAACCCACAATCTCTCCTTACTATCTCATCCTCATCAGTTTTCCAACTTCCCTTTCATAAGTTCCTAACATAAAAATTACTAACTGTAATCAGAGTTTCTCTACTTTGCAAAAAGAGCGTAATGGCATCAATATACATATACTCGCTCATACCTCTAACTCTACTTTCTCTTATGATCAATTCAACCCTAGCAACAAGGATGCTCGCAGAGTCCTCCACTCAGCCTATGACTTTCCAATACCATAATGGTCCTCTCCTACATGGCGATTCTCCATCAACCTTGTTTGGTATGGCAAGTTCAAGCCTACCCAAAGAGCTATCATCTCTGATTTTGTTACCTCCCTAACACCTATACAGATTGAAAGCCAACCATCTGTTGCCATGTGGTGGAATTCCATTGACAAGTACTACCACCTGGCCAATCCCAAACAGCAAACTTTGCTCTCACTCTCCTTGGCAAGCAAGTCATTGATGAGACTTACTCCCTAGGAAAAAGTTTCACCACCAAGCAGGTTACAGCCTTGGTGTCACGGTCCGGGAGTTTGGACCCCGAAACGTGCGGCGCGCTCTAGCCTTTTGGCGGCAAGAACGCTAGCCTTGAGCGGAAGAGGGGCTTGTGAGCACAAAGCAACACAAGCGGGCAATAGAATCTTAGGAGCACTCACGTCTATCAGGGCGACGGAGTGCGGGTGGTCGGGGCTTGTGACGGCCGATACTTCAAAGCGGGCACAAGCGGGTCCGAACCACGAGTCCTTAGCGCATCAAGTTGGGTTGGAGGGGAGCTAATATGCAAGTAAGACACAATATCTATAAAGGTCTAACAACAAACAAGCATAAAAGCAAGGCAACACTTGGTAGAAGGCTTTAAGATTTCATTAATCATTCGCCCTCTAAAGAGCTTTAAATGACATACAAGGAGAATCCCTAGTGAACACTGATCTGACAGTAACACAATAATGGGACCTCAAGCTAAGAAAACATAACCTAAACTCTAGGAAAGCACTTAAATGGAATCTAATACATCAAAAGGAGTTGGATTCTAACACTTGGCCACAAAGGGCCCACAAGAGCCTAACACCATCAACGTAGTTTTAACTGCGGCTGATGTGGCAGTAGAAGGTTTCTGCATGAGCAGTTGTGGGACCCATGGGTCCACCAACATTTCCAAACAAGGCCTAAAAAAGTTCACCTACATCTGGATTGGTAACTCGGAGACACAGTGCCCAGGTCAATGTGCCTGGCCATTCCACTAGCCCATCTACGGCCCACAAAGCCAACCATTGACTGCACCTAACAATGATGTTGGCTTGGATGGCATGGTCATTAACTTAGCTAGCCTTCTAGCAGGGACTGTAACCAACCCTTACGGAAATGGGTACTTCCAAGGCCCTAAGGAGGCCCCACTTGAGGCCGCTTCAGCCTGTCCAGGAGTCTACGGAAAGGGAGCCTATCCTGGTTACGCCGGAGACCTCTTGGTGGATCCCACAACTGGTGCTAGCTACAATGCTAACGGAACCAACAAGAGGAAGTATCTACTCCCTGCATTGTATGATCCCACAACCTCATCCTGCTCAACTCTAGTTTGACTGTTTGAGAAGTTACAAAAGCTACCTACAAGATAATGTATAGATGGAAAAGTATAAAGATGTATACTAGCTAGGATGATGAAGCAAATAGAGATTATATGTTTTTCTCAGTCATGTATCCTTTAAGTTACACATGTTGCAATAAAATTTTGCCATTATCTACCTTGAAATCATCAGTCCATCCGTAACTTTGCAACTTCATATACTTGTCCATTCAGATTAACAAGTACTCTAGGTCATGGTACATAGCTGTTAGGTGAGCTTAAACTCTGGTTTATCTACTCAGTTAATCCTTTGTGTATGATGACTGATGAGAAACTACAATCACTAAACTTCTAATTATATCGTCAACAATTAACTTCTAGTTAATGGTGGAGAAAAAGATTGTACATATATTATTGAATTTAGTTATTGCTTCCCTAAAACCTGTATTCATATTCATGTATGCTTCAAAGTGTCTACTTCTGTTAATACTTTCTCCCAATGTTTTAACATTCATTATCCATTTACATATATTAATACCAAATTGAGGATACAAAGGACATTACCCCATGCAAGTCAGACAAATCGAAATAGCTAGATAAAAGTGAGCTTATCAATTATTCACTAGCAGCCCGATTTTAAACTTGGAACACAGTCATGTTTTTCAGCACAGCACTCACTGTAATGACTATTCCAACTTTTTTATTGCAGTTTTCTTCTAATCATAACTTCCTATATATAAAGCCTTAACATCAATTTCATTTCAGCATCCTCAACATTCTCAATCCTACACACATTCATTTGGATCCGAAATACCACATACATTCATGCCTTTATGGCATTCATTTTCAATTTCCAGTGTTCAATCCATTCACTAACTCGGGTAACCTCTGTTTCACTTAATAGAGTATGTAATGATTCTATCCACATATTAGGATGTAAATATCTTGTGTATTTCTAAGTCTTCAATGCTATGTTACTCGGACTCTTCCATTTACCTTACGTGTCCGTGTCGACACGACTCGTGTCGGACACCGACACCGACACTTGGACGCTTCATTTTTAACTAAAAACAAAACTTTTTTCAAAAAAATGGGCGAGTCTGATACTTGGACACCCGTGTCTAATTTGATACTTCATGCGAGTCCAAGTAACATAGCTTCAATGTAACTAGACCAAAATCCTAGTCACCAAACTAATCTCCTCCTCCTCCTAGCCATATCTCCTCCTCTTCTCCTTCTTACATCGGCTCCACCATGTTCATACTCTCAAACTCTCCATTTATTTTTCACCCTTACCATCTCCACTATTAAAAATTTAGTTCCTAATAATCACCTTGCTTGACCTTTGTTACTTGGACTAATAGACTCTTCATTGCCAAGTCTAACCCCAATGTTGTTCCAATATATTAAAATATCAGCAGCATTTTCTTAAAGTAATTTAATTCTCCAAAGGAATACTATATTTGTAGCTTCGGAGATGATATCAAACTTAAACTAGTGACCTTAAATAAAATATACGTAGTATACAAATTACAATCATATGGAGTTGTGTTTAAATTGACTACACAACTATTTTTTTCTACAAACAATATGGATAAATTTGACAATTCTATTTACCATTGCCCTCGAAATACTTCACATGTGCACATGATGTGTATCGTGCTTTAAAAAACATACATTTCAAATAAAGGAACAAGTAGTTACAAAATAAAAATAAAAACAAACATAAAATCCATATTTTTAACTTTCATGTTATTCTTTAAATCTTTTGTTACATTGTCATGTTATGTACACAATTCCATTTCCATGTTATCCAATTCATGTTATGTACACAATTACATTGTTATTTTAGGTGCATGATGCGCATCATGTTCTCGAGTATAGGAGCTAAATATTATTAAATACATCAATTACAATCCACAAATGAATTCCGGCATTTGGAAGGGAAAAAAAAAATTAATTTCACAAACATACTCTCAGGTCTCAACCGATTACATTATCATTAGTTCATAATCTAAAAATATTAACCATATTTCGAATTTATACTACGTATTAAACAATTTTACTCCAA